ACTTTGATGACATATTTATCTCAGGGGACTCCATATTGCAGCTGATGGAATGCGTGCGTGAGACTTTGGGGAGATTCAAGGAGAAGGGACTTAAAGTGAACCCAAAGAAATGTAAAATTGGCATGAGGCAGGTAGAGTTCCTGGGATACCTCATAGATGGGTCTGGCATCCACCCCACTGACAGCAGAGTAAAGGCCATTAGAAACGCCCCCAGCCCAAGGAACAAGACAGAGCTCCAAGCCTTCTTAGGACTATTGAACTTTTATAGCATTTTTTTACAACAGAAGGCCACTGTTGCTGAGCCACTACAAAAGCTCCTGGGAAAGATAGCACTGTGGACCTGGGGACAGAAGGAAGACCAGGCCTTTGCAGTGGTAAAAGAGCTATCCTACAACAGCGTGCTCATCCAGTTCAACCATACTTTGTCGGTTCGGATCACCTGCAATGCCTCCCCCTTCGAAGTTGCAGCAGTCCTCAGCCATCACCTACTGGATGGATTGGAGGCTCCCATAGCCTATTACTCCAAGACCTTGTCCCCGGCAGAACGCAACTACAGCCAGATCGACAAGGAAGCCTTGGCTGCAGTCGCAGGGATCTAGAGATTCTATGAGTATGTGTATGGCAGACATTTCAAACTCATCACTGACCATAAGCCACTGCTGGGGCTCCTCACCAGGAACCAACAAACCCTGCCGTACATGTCTCCAAGGATGACCAGATGGGCCATTTTCCTCACGGCGTATGACTACAAGCTGATCCACCGCCCAGGGATGCACTTAGCCGTTGCCTGTTACTGGAGCTGGTAGAAGACCCCCGCCCTCACCACCACAGTACTGCTGATCAATGTCAACCCAGCCAGCCCGGTCACCGCCAGAGACATCGCCGAGCAAACACAAAAGGACAAGGGGTTGCAAAACTGGGTGTTGAGGGGGTGGCCACAGGAGAAGCTGAGTGAGGAGTTCCAGAGCTACCAGAGAAAGCAGGCAGAACTATCAACTATCAAGGGTTGTTTGTTGTGGGGGGAGAGAGTCATCATACCCAGAGGCTGCAGAGGTGAGCCATGAAAGCCCTCCATGAGGGTCACCTGGGGATAGTACGGATGAAGACACTAGCCCAGAGCTACATCTGGTGGCCCAATATGGATAAGGACATCACGGAGTAGCCACTTGCAGACCCTGCCAGGAGACACGACCAGCCCCACCCCAGGCACCTATGTGAGAGTGAGAAGCAGCCAAGGGACCGTGGTAACGCATTCACATCGACTTCGTGGGACCAGTGAAAGGGCAGATTTTCCTGATCATAGTGGATGCTTACTCCAAAAGGCTGGAGGTTGTTATCATGCAATCAACCATGGCAGAGGCCACCATCAGAGCGCTCCGGAAAGTTTTCGTGACCCATGGCCTACACAACACCCTGATCTCTGACAATGGTCCACAACTGACCGTCAAGAGAATGGAAGCATTCCTTGCAGAGCAGGGGATCCGTTATGGACTGGATGAGGGTTAACAAGCTTGTGCTCAACCCAGAAAAGACCGAGTGGCTGTTGTGCTTCCCTCCCAAAGATTCGA